AGTGCGTTATAACGTAAAACTCATCGTTAGTTCGAAACGTCATCCAGCTTCCAAACGTGATGCTTCTAAATGCAACTTTTATTGCTCTCAAAGAAACGTAGATAGGCATTTGCCAAAGGAAGCAGGGCCATTTCTTGTTAGCATTGTAGCAACACGGTAGGTAATTTGAAATCGATGCAGCATGTGCGCTTTTTCCGCTGATACAATAATATTTTCCTACATCTTATAGCCAGTGCAGATGTTGGCTTTGCAATCTGGGATCGATATGCCGCCCTATCAGCAGAAGAAGAACAGCCGGTGTCGTACGTTGCCCATTTGGCTGGAGCTGCCGCTGGTTTGACCATTGGTTTATTGGTACTGAAAAACTTTGAGCAGAGGCTGAACGAACAGCTGCTCTGGTGGATCGCCTTATCTATATACGGTGCCTGCATGACGACTGCCATCATATGGAACATTTTTTTCTACTAGCAGTCCAATATACACTACAGTAGTGCACAGTCATAGCAAAACCGCAAGAAACAAATACCACTGTGCGCTATATGTAATATAAATATGCGTTTTGAATGAAAGAAAATTAAACTGAAGTCAACTTTCGTTCGAAATGACCGTCGCTATTTTGCTGATGCTTTCAGGTCCAACGCGACAACATCCTCCAATGATCTTTGCACCAAGATCAAGCCACTGTTTACAGTAATTTGAAAGATCCATCTTTTCGCCGGTCCAACTAAAAAGTTACTATTACAACAAAACAGCAGAAGCTACAATATAGTAATTATGTGACGGCAGTTCAAAAATTCCACTACAATCTAACACCGATTTAACATACTGTGCTGTTCTAAAATGTAAAAGACTCGAACAGTATGAGTATTACCGAGTGTAACAGTAACATTCTGACTAATATAACTGACCATCTATAGCAACTCTATCAATAACATTTTCGCCATTGGGCATCAATAAATAAATAAATACAAATAATAAGCAGTTTCCGTTCCTCACATTTCAAAACTAAATTCGCTAACTGCTCGGAGCGGCTATATTCGACATGAAAAAGTATTCATAAAAAAATTATCAGGGTGTGCATGAAACGCTGATACAAAAGAGAGAAAGAGGAGTTAAACGAGCAAAGGCTTGGAAAATGCATGCCGAAGGGCACGGAAGAAACCGTCAGAGCTTGCATTCATCGCATTGCTGTGAAGCGAGTAAAAATACGATTACCCCCAGTGAACGACTGAACGAAAATGAGTCACAGTTTGCTTAGCTATCTGTTACATTACATGATTCATCACCATTATCTGATAAGCATAATAGACGGCGAACCATCATAAATACCCATATTTACTTTATAGCGCAAGACGTTCCGTTCCGTTGCCTTAGAAAGCCTGAAGGTAATACAGAGCCGGTCCCGGTAAACTGAGGCCGGTATGCTGCCCGTCATTAGTCAGTCATATCTCTCAGCAACCGAAACCATACAAAATGAATAACTCTGAATCCGTCGAATTGGACGAAAGTTGGGGAGACGTTGGCAATAGTTCACGAGGGCTACCATCCCTGCTAAAGAATTTTTCTTTTTCTTATCCCATCGTATCGTACAAACGTTCCATCCGGATCGAAAAAATCCTGCTCACTCTTCAGTCCTATCGATGTTATGTCAGTTCTAACGAGCCGTCTACCATCAGGCTTTGCGTTCAGCATCCGTTTCACAAGGAGGCGGCTGTAACCCATTCATTGGCCTTATTTGCAACCAATTTAGTCAGATACTCTAAACTATCGCGTAGAACAACATTTGATACCACCTTACTCCTAATATTGATCTTAAAATCTTCATTTCCATCGCTTCCGGATTTCAGTTTACAGCACTGTTAAAGGCTGCCCTCCACAAACAACAGACTAAGACCTCTGTATATCTGCAGCTTTCTGATACAGCAACATCTGTTTCCTCCCAGAAGTTAAATAAATTGTTCCGTACTGCTAAGGCCGACGAAGATCGCCCCTTTTCTCTGTTTGCCATTCGTTTGTCTGTAGCCAATGTACTCCCAAGACAGGATGATCTACTGCCTTTCCAAAGCATCAGTGAAAAGAGTCAGGCAGTCTTCTAGCGTAATTCTGCCAATTTCTATCCATTTCGTCCATTTCATCCATCCTTAACGTTAATCAAGAGACCTAGATCAAAATATCTCAGTTTTAGAGTTAGTAACAGTGACATTGCAGCTTGGAAGTTGTCTGGAGGCAATACGATATTATTCACAAATGCATGAGAGTTTATACAAATGTTAACCACATTGGCCGTCATGGTCTCATTCCTTCGTACTGGCTAGAACACGCAAGCAAGAAACATCGTAAACAGCACAGGAGACCCCTGTCTTAAGAAAGAATCAGCGCTGCACTTTACGAAAGATCATACATCTTTTTAATTATGCGATTCATCTTCGGTACGATTCCGTATTGTTCACAAACTTTTCACAAGCTGTCTCTTCAGATTGAGTCAAACGGTTTGGTAAAATCGACGAATATTGCAAAGAATCTGGATCCATAATCTCTTTTCTGTCCAATTTTCAATATCTATTCTAAGCATCATCTGCCTGCTCAGAAAACAGCCTGCCAAATCTTCTAAAGAGGTTATCTAATCCTGTTCACAATTATAAGAATGAACGGATAGTAGGCCGGCCTATTGTGCGGAAGCCACTCCCATTCTACATCTTAAACGACCGCTTTCACTTTCGGGTCGCGAAGGCAGACGCGTCAGACAATGCTTCCAACATTCTTCATCCTGTGCAAGGGTCTAAGCTCCTGCATAAGACAGTTGTAGTGTCGAGCAGATTCCTTCCAAATATTTGCACTACGTTAATCATGGCCGTGCCATGGGACTTCTGCTGGTCGGTTGGGTATGACAGCCGCCTCGCCTTCCTTTCTGAACGCATTCGCAACACATGTCCAAAGCATCGCAACTTTAATTTCTCAGTCTGAAGAAAAACTAGCTGCACACCAAGGCTCTCCCCTATGTCTGCAATACAGATCACGTGGAGACGCGTTAGCGACGGACTCGCCTCAAAAAGCCCATTTCAGCCGCATGCACCCGGGCTTGAACATTCTCAGTCATGGTCCATCACTCACGGCGGTATGTAAGCATAGGGATAAAGATCGATTTGAAAACCGAGAGCTTAGTTTTCAGAATGAGCTCTGCTTTACTCATAGTGGATTGGGTTAGTTCATGCAGAACGCTACTGGCTAATCCAATTCGCTGGTCGATCTCTTCCTCCAATTTTCCATCACTAGTAAATACAATTCCGAGATACTTGAACTTCTCCACCTGATCCAATGCCTATACTTTAATCTGAATAGACCAACGGGCAGGAGAACGAGAAAGCACTAGACTTTTCGTTTCTGATGCGTTCATACGGATGCCGGCCACGTCGCACTCGACTACAAACCTTTCTAGGGAGCACGGGAGACCAGTTTCAGAAGATGCTAATATAACAAGGTCGTCTGTAAACAGCAACCTTTTCGTCTTCACATCTCCTATACCGATACCCTCATCGCCTTGGCAGCTCCTGACTATTCTATCCATGTACAA